CCTGGTATTTCAATTGGTATCTCTTCTGGAAGTTCAACTGAAACATCCATTTCAATTAGGACTTGTGCGCAGGACACTCTTTCTCCTTTGGCTGTTAGTTTATCCGTGCATATTGGCTTTCCCAAACAGCTTGCAATTTCGACCCAAACTACTTGGTGCCCAGTATTCAACAGGTAAGTTAGGAAAAGTAACCCAAATTGGAATAACTTGGAGTGGTTCCTTGCTCATCTGAAAGTCTGGCTCCCAATGCTTGAGCACCATAGGTCTGTTGTTAAATGTGAATGGTCCATTCTGCAATAGGGTCTCCTTATCATTCTTAGACATGAATCGAAAGATGAAATACCCATCATAGTGCAAAAAAACTTGAGGAGTAACCACATAATTCCAGACCCCATACACATACTTCAACATTTCTTTGAATGTAGGGTTTCCCCCAATTACATAGCCAATTAGAGCCGATTTCCATTTCTGACATTCCTCTTCAACTTCAGCTTGTACTAATTTTACGATTTTCCTCCCATCTCTCATATTGGGGGAAAATAGTCTAGTTTCAGCCCTAGTTGTATCGATCTATTTCCTTGCACAACTTCAGCCGCCGTGGGTTTTTTCACTTCCCCTGTTGTAGAGAAGATAAGTTTCCTTACTGCTGCTGCTGCAGATGTGCCTTCATCTTGTTCTACAGGAGTGTTGATGTTTTCCGGTGGTCTTCCTTGCAAAATCGTTGGAGCACTTCCCATTCCTGTTAGCCATTGACCAAATTGCCTTGGTTATAAGTCCTGAGGGATTCCATTTTCTGGTGTGATTAACCTAGGAGGTTCTTCCTGCTCTGTGGAGGGTGTTGACGTCGTCGGAATTTGCTTTCTCCGTCGGGCCATGGTTGAAGGCGCACGTTAGCAATCGTTGACTAACATGCGCCTTAATATTCTCCTTTTTTATTGATCTAAAATCCCACCCAATTTGAATGGGTAGTTATGACTAACAATCGTTGGCAAGGACATAATATGAATTCCCTCTATTATGACTAACAATCGTTGACTTACTAGAATAGTATTGTTACATAGTTGGAAAGGATTTTTGTAAATCTTAATTGATTTTAAAGTCTAAATATTAGGAATTCCTACATTATTCTAATAAGGTAAGATTTTAATAATCAAATTTTAGTTGATTTCGAAGTCCAAAAATTTAGAAAATAACATTATTCTAATAAGGAAAGATTTTAATAATCAAATTTTAGTTGATTTCGAAGTCCAAAAATTTAGAAAAATAGTTAAATGACTATTTTGTCTAGTCTGAAATCGATTTTTTCAAAGGGTAAAAAAGGCGAACGACATTTCGCTAAGGGCCTTCGTGCTTTTAATATAGTACTAGTTACTATGTACGCGCGTTGCACGTAAATCTTTAGTAAGAACTTTTATGTGAAAGAACAACTAACTAAATTTAGTAACAATTTATTTACAAGATGATATGATCATTGCAAAAAGTAAACATGATAAAAATACATCAATTATTTAAATGCTAAAAATTAATATTATTATATTAATAGAATACTTGAATTCAAAATGACATTGTCTTAACCTAAAAAGATGATCAATTTAGTTGAGTTAAACAATATCTTATTTATAGTGTACAAATATTCAGTGTGGTGGTATCATATCTAATACTTCTTTATAGAGGACGTNTTCTAATAAGATAAAATTTTAATAATCAAATTTTAGTTGATTTCGAAGTCCAAAAATATAGAAAAATAGTTAAATGACTATTTTGTCTAGTGTAAAATTTAATTTTTTTAAAGGGTAAAAAAGGCGAACGACATTTCGCTAAGGGCCTTCGTGCTTTTAATATAGTACTAGTCTCTATGTTCGTGCAATGCAAGAGTATCTTATGTGAAATATAACAAAACGCATCCGACAGTAATAAACTTTTTGTCTGTAATTGTAACAGTTTTGATTATGTAGTATAAACATGTTATACGGTCATATCTTACCTTATATGCACCTATAAATGATGTTCTTATTGTATCGTTTTAATTACTCTGTTGTTTAACCTAAAAATAGATTTTAGGTCAAAGCTTGAATTTAGAAGAACACGGGTTACTGATAATCGGAAAAGAGTATATAAAGAAAGAAATTTGTGAATAATATGACAGAAAGCAAATAAATCAAAGTATATTCCAATAGTGTATTTTTCGTGCTTACAGTTGTTTGTGACTTTCCCTTTTATAGCCATTTTGGGAATACAGACTTTACCTTTATTATAATAAGACAATTATGGGTAATTAATGACTTTAAATGTTACGTTATGCAATCATATACATTAAATACATATTCTCTAACGTTTCCAGTATTTAATACTCATTAAATGTTGTATCTGGGCTCTTTTTTGCTGTCAGATTCATTCCTTTGACTATTCACGATCTTTGACCTTTAAATGTCTTGAATAGGTACGAGCGTTGAATTACTTGTATGACTGCTCGTGCCTTCTCCATTTAACTTGTTCGTATCTGTTTTTGCTCGTATCTGTTAACCAACCTTAATTCTTTGACTGTTTGACCAGTCTACGTGTCATGACACGTCACCATATACATA